TCTGTCCGTTGGGGCGGACTGGCTGCGGCGATTGATGTGCGTGCCTTCACCTCTCCCTGTCGGGCAGGGCGACTGGAAGGGGACCATGCAAATCAATGGCACTTTTTTGTTCCCCGGTTGATCGATGGGTCCTGGATGTGCCGAAAGTGTGAAGCTGCCGGAGCCAAACAAAGGGCCCGGCTGGGCTGGTGGAGACTGTCCGCCCTGGCCCCCAGTGCTGGGGGCACCATGCTATCACCTGCATCGGGGGATGCCCCGTGTCACCCTAGTCCTCACCACTGTCACCACCAACATGGGATGCTGAGCCCAGCTCCGGCCTCACCACCCTCCAGGCCTTTCCCGCACCGTGGGGGTGAGCCTCCACAGCACGGGGGGCTGGGCAGGGGTCTGGTCCCCCCTGTGCTGCCGGGGCCGGGGCATGCTGCAGTGCACCAGGCACTCCCTAGCAGTGCATGAGTGAGCGTGCGGCGCTCAGCCCAGATTTATCGCAGCAGATGGGAGCGGAGCGGCCGCCCAGCTCACCAGTGGCTGGGGCTTTTCCGGGAGGCCAGGGCCCCCCCGCGGCGGGGCGGGGAGCCCAGCCTCCGCTCGGGACGGTTCTGCCAGGGGACATCCATCTGCCCAGTGCCGACAGCCTGCTGGAAGGTACCACTGCCTTGCAAAGCCCTGCTCTAAAAATGCAGTCGTGCAGAAGCGATGCTGCCCGTTCTGCTCCTGCACTTAACCCTTCAGGCACTGCCGGAGCCCGCCGTGCCCCGCTGGCAGCACCACGGCTGCCAGAGCCTGGGAGGCCGGGGGGTCCATCCTGACCCGGCTCACCTGTTGCTGAGGCTTCCTGGCAGCCGCGGGGGCTAGCGGGGACCAGGCAGCCCGTGCCTGCTCTGGGGTGGGTGTCGGTGGGAAAGGAGGCTCACACCCTTGCTCTGGGTGTCTGTTCCCATCCTTCTGCCTGAAATGGGGCCCATGGGCTCCCTGCCTGCTGCTGGGGTTGGGCCAGGCATGCAGCTCTGCCTGCCCTGTGCTGCCAGACGGTGCTGCAGGCGGAGCTCAGGGTGCTCTGGTGATGGCATTGGGGCTGCTGGGTTTCGGGGGCATCCAGCTGTGGGGGGTGTTGCTCTGCACCTGCGGGACTAGCGGTCACAGTGCAGGAGCTGAGCGCGGCAGGGATGCAGCATCGTGGCTGAAGCTGCTGCCAGAGTCCCCTGGACGTGCCCCGGGCCATGGTGGCCTCGTGGCTCTGCCCATTTGGGGCTGTGCTCCAGCCCATCCCGGCTGGCGACGATGCTCTGATGCCTGCAAGCTCCCAGCACGTGATGGCCAGCGATGTCCATGGGGCTCACCGCCATGGGGAGCAGGGCTGCCGGGCCCCGCCACGCAGTCTGGGGTCCTCTGTACCTCCGCATTGCGGTGCTGGTGTGCCCCAGTCCAGGGGAGACCTCAGTGCTACATGGGGCAGCGCTCATTAGTGAGGCTGTTTACCAGGAGCCACGCTTCCTAATGAGCCCCGGAGCAGGGTCCCAGGGGGCAGGGGGTGTGCCTCAGCACTGGGTGCCGCAGGGGAAGGGGGGTGGCTACAGCTCCCTGGCACCCCAGGACAGGGTTTCCCCTGGCACGGCGGGAGATGGAGCCGGGTGTCACTCCCATGGGGCGCGGACACCCGGGGCCGATTCCAGGGGCTTCCTCCAGCCCCTCACTCCCCCGGCACACCCACAGCCTGGCCACAGTGAGCACCGGTTGCTGGCGCCTGCCCTGGTGTGGGGCAGCCGGCTCAGAGTGTGCTGGTGTCCCAGCCCCGCATCCCGCACGGAGTTAATTGCAATTTTCTCCTCAGGGCCATTTCTTTAATAACAATTCTTCCCCCCCCCCCTTCCCACCACATCAAAGGGGGAAGATGAAAGGTCCTGGCGCCCCGTGGAGCAAGGGTGGCTGCCTCAGCACCTTGCTGGTGGAGGAGTTGCCCGGCGGCCGGCGGGTGCCGGGCTGGGCTGGGGAATAGCGGCTGCGCAGCGAGGGAGGTGCCGCGTGGGGCTGTGTTCCCTGCACCACAGGTGGGGGGGCGGCGCTGCTTGGGTCCCCCTTTGCTGGCAAGACGCCGGGTCCCTCATTGGTTCTCTCTCCGGCACCCGGCTTCTGCTGCGTGCTGGGGTGCCACGCCAC